AACTTTTGTGAAACATTTACTATTTCGTTATGGTTTGGGCTTCGTCTGGTTTGCACAAGATGTGGGTGATACCAATCTATTTGTTTATAAATTTAGTGAAAGAGTTTCTGACTGCACAATTCAAGATTGGCATGCATCGCTAGATACCACATCACTTGAATTTTATAAGTCTCATAAGCTGAATTTAGCTTGTGAACATTATCTTTTAAATATTAATAGTTGTGAGTATAAACGACTGCTAACTAAATTTAGAAGTGGTCATAACACCCTTGGTATCCAGTTGGATCGTAGAGGTTTAGTAAGCTGTGATGACCAAAATGCTTTGTACAAGCATAGTAATGTAATTGAGGTGAGGTGAAATTGGGTTTAACGTCGCGTCCAAGATTATTGCACTTATATAGCGACGTTCATGTACGTGTATGTGGTTGTGTGGCTGCTTGTACTAGTCCGGACTGATGCCGATTTATAGTGCTAGCTCACTGAGATACCATGCCGCAGTTTAACATGAATACCCCACTCAGACACAGTATACTGACTCCTAGCCGATCGGTCCTTGTTTTAGCCCCTTACTGCCGAGCGCCAGACAGGGTAACAACAAGTACCATCTTTTAACGTCTTTTTGTATGACGCGGCCGGGGATCGGTAATGAAATTGAAGACGAAATGCATGTTATATAGTGAGCGGAAATATTTAATTCCCAAACCTGTAAGTAATAACTATTATTCATTACAAAGAATATGTCAGTCAACAAATATTAATGTCATGTTAAACTTTGCCAGGTTCCTTAATTGTATGTTCACGGGAAGAGAAGCACCTGTTTATCTTCCCTTAAAAAATAACTCTCTGTAAAATGGTACTTGTAAACCTTTTTGTACTATGGGTCTGATGGCCTTCATGCAAATAAAACTGCCTGACTGCCGTTTAATATGTATACCCCACTCCGAGCCGACCAGTCATTGTTAAGTCCATTAAAACCAAGCGCCAGGCAGGGTAACAACAAGTACCATCTTTTAACGTCTTTTGGTATGACGCGGCCGGGGATCACTAGATCACGGAGGAGGTGATATAAGCAGTAACTTTGATGAGTACTAGTTTATATAAGACATAAACATAACGTTATCTGTAGCCTTACCTTGTATTAGCTTATACAGTAAACTACGGTTATAACGAACTCGAAGGGACTACTATTTTTAGTTCGTTATAACCGTAGTTCGTTACAAGCATATATACAGCAAATAGTCGGGACTAAAAAGTAAGTTCGTTATATCCGTCAGTTCGTTATAAGCGTGTTCGTTATAACCGTATTTTACTGTAATTTCTTCAAAGTAGCCACCAGTATCAACAGTGATCCCATTTTGGATAACCAGCCAAGGCCCTCTGTCTTATATTGTGTTTCTTCATTTACCGTCGGCCCTCAATTACAGTCTCGCTCAAACAAATATCCACCAATTCGCCCACCTGAAAATAAATCAACGTGCTTCAGAAAAACTTAATGGCTTTCCATTTCATAAAACAAATTCTCGTAACGTATTATCGGAAAGATGTCAGTAACAACCGATGTCGTTTCGTTTTTTCGTCTTGTAATCCATCTTTTTCTTTTCTTTTTTTCTTTTTCAATATACCCTTTAAGTCCCAACACCGAATACAGCAACTGCTGCATTTGGAATATATCACAAGGATGCCGTGTGTTTATCAGCAAATTTATACAAATTTCACAAAATTCATAACTCTTTAGTTCATGATTTAGATTGTGAACCATTCATCTCGTCTTGATATATAACAAATTGTCCGTTGTAGTGAGTTGGGTATAACTCCGATTTTAGCAGTATTCCAGTTATATCGCGGCGTGTCAGCTTAATGTGGGAGGAAAGCCCGAAGTGATGCAGGTCTCAGACGTTTACCACTTCGGTGAAACACACGAGCACGGGTGTGGTGCTGACAAACCTAAAAACATAAACCGGGATTCGAACCCACAATCATAGGTTTCTGGCGTGCCGAAGGGAAGCAACTCTGCACAGCGAATCGCGGCGCCTCAGACGACTGGGCCACCCGTGCCCCCTCTGTCACTTGTAAACCAGATGGGCTTTATGTTTATTGATTTCGGTCGCCCCTGCCCCAAGAGGCTGAGCATGTAGAGGAATAACTCTCGGGATAACATGGACGACCTGCGCAGGAGGTAATCTGATCAGAAATAACACTTTACGACATTGATAGTTTACGACAACATCTCAGACCAGTTTATGGCAATGTCGATCAAATCAATACGTTTGAAAGTCTTAAGATTGTAGACCCCTCTAACATATCCCGGAGGGGTCATTATTGTTTAAGAGCTCACCAAATTAAGTGCTCCGTCATATCTAGCAGCCATTTGACCTGAAACAAATTAATGGAAATCCATCTGCTGACGCTCGGTGGTCAAGCATATGTGACTGTTTGTCTAATACGGACATGGTTGATAGAGGAGCATCATGTGAAAGGGATGAGATTCTATTCTGAGATTCCATCTGACAGTAATCTGGGGTCTTCTGAGTGGGCAAGCGCCAAACAGTTGGGCCATTAACATCATCTAATCATGGAAAGGTTTAGGAGCGGTGGGGCAGCCTTGTGGTTAAAGTGTTCGCTCGTCATATAGAAGGTTCGATTTCCAATAAGGGTACAAACTCTGAAGCCCATTAGAGTGTTTGTAGAATAAAACCGATATATAAAAAAATACTAAATTCAAAACGTCAACACCAGAAAAGAATCAGAAGCAAATTCCATAGGGCGAAAAAGGCAAAAATAGTATGGATCAATGAAAATCGGCGCCACCAGGTTTTCGCGAAAAGGGGAATTCCGCGCTACCGATATCACCCACTCATAAAATTTCATAAATATAATAATTATTTGTCTGTTGCTCAACGCCACAACCATCAGTACTCTTGCCATAAGACTGCGTCCTGTAAACAGTCTGACAAGTGAATCCGGTGATCAGACGCCACGCTGACAACCAAGTGTCAGGAAGCCTGACCACCCAATCTGTACAAGTGAATCCGGTGATCAGACGCCACGCTGACAACCAAGTGTCAGGAAGCCTGACCACCCAATCTGTACAAGTGAATCCGGTGATCAGACGCCACGCTGACAACCAAGTGTCAGGAAGCCTGACCACCCAATCTGTACAAGTGAATCCGGTGATCAGACGCCACGCTGACAACCAAGTGTCAGGAAGCCTGACCACCCAATCTGTACAAGTGAATCCGGTGATCAGACGCCACGCTGACCACCAAGTGTCAGGAAGCCTGACCACCCAATCTGTACAAGTGAATCCGGTGATCAGACGCCACGCTGACAACCAAGTGTCAGGAAGCCTGACCACCCAATCTGTACAAGTGAATCCGGTGATCAGACGCCACGCTGACAACCAAGTGTCAGGAAGCCTGACCACCCAATCTGTACAAGTGAATCCGGTGATCAGACGCCACACTGACAACCAAGTGTCAGGAAGCCTGACCACCCAATCTGTACAAGTGAATCCGGTGATCAGACGCCACGCTGACCACCAAGTGTCAGGAAGCCTGACCACCCAATCTGTACAAGTGAATCCGGTGATCAGACGCCACGCTGACAACCAAGTGTCAGGAAGCCTGACCACCCAATCTGTACAAGTGAATCCGGTGATCAGACGCCACGCTGACAACCAAGTGTCAGGAAGCCTGACCACCCAATCTGTACAAGTGAATCCGGTGATCAGACGCCACGCTGACCACCAAGTGTCAGGAAGCCTGACCACCCAATCTGTACAAGTGAATCCGGTGATCAGACGCCACGCTGACAACCAAGTGTCAGGAAGCCTGACCACCCAATCTGTACAAGTGAATCCGGTGATCAGACGCCACGCTGACAACCAAGTGTCAGGAAGCCTGACCACCCAATCTGTACAAGTGAATCCGGTGATCAGACGCCACGCTGACAACCAAGTGTCAGGAAGCCTGACCACCCAATCTGTACAAGTGAATCCGGTGATCAGACGCCACGCTGACAACCAAGTGTCAGGAAGCCTGACCACCCAATCTGTACAAGTGAATCCGGTGATCAGACGCCACGCTGACCACCAAGTGTCAGGAAGCCTGACCACCCAATCTGTACAAGTGAATCCGGTGATCAGACGCCACGCTGACAACCAAGTGTCAGGAAGCCTGACCACCCAATCTGTACAAGTGAATCCGGTGATCAGACGCCACGCTGACAACCAAGTGTCAGGAAGCCTGACCACCCAATCTGTACAAGTGAATCCGGTGATCAGACGCCACGCTGACAACCAAGTGTCAGGAAGCCTGACCACCCAATCTGTACAAGTGAATCCGGTGATCAGACGCCACACTGACCACCAAGTGTCAGGAAGCTGACCACCCAATCTGTACAAGTGAATCCGGTGATCAGACGCCACACTGACCACCAAGTGTCAGGAAGCCTGACCACCCAATCTGTACAAGTGAATCCGGTGATCAGACGCCACACTGACCACCAAGTGTCAGGAAGCTGACCACCCAATCTGTACAAGTCAGTGCCGGAGAGCAAGTGGAGGTCATCGTTGGGGATAACAATGCGTATCGTGTTGACAAGCGACACGCCATAGTTAGAAAATTCATCTGCATGACTTCCATAAAATGTTAAAAATGAACCTTGACTGAAAACCGTAGCTGGGAGTTTGTTACATTGTTTCATGGTTTTCTTTTTAAAATCATTTTCATAGTATTAAATAAAAAACCCATCTGATTATGTAGTTGTAGCATAAAATCCCAGTACCCCCCCCCCCCCCCCCCCCCCCACACACACCTCCCTCCCTCTTCCCTCCTCCACCCCCTCTCTCCCTCCCTCCCCCATCACCCCTCTCCTTCCTCCCTCTTCCCTCCTCCACCCCCTCTCTCCCCCTCCCCTTCCTCCCCCCCCTCCCCCCTGCTCCACTCACTTCTTTGAAGTGATGGAAAGGAAATATACTGTCTGATACGAAAATGATTTGATTTGATTCACGAATAGTTTATTTCAAAACTACATATGGGCGAACAAGGCATCCGATCCAGTTCTGTGACGTCGTTCTGTGCATGATCCTGTCGAAGCGTGTTACTTGCCGATGCTGAAGTCGGACATGCAGCAGTAGAGGTTAGTGCTGCCACAGTCGTCCCCGGTACGCTTCCCCATACAGAACACGTTGGTGAACATGCTGTAGCAGGCCCCGCCGTTCTTGTGACAGACACTGTCTAGAACTGAGCAGTCTGCAACAGAGGAGCGTTATCGATCTGTCATTACGTGTAACGTATATAAAAAAAAGAGTGAGTGAGTGAGTATAAGCAATATCCCATCACTATCACGGCTTTGGGGGCCAGGTATTTAGAGTGAATATGGTTTTATCCCGCCATTAGCAATATCCCATCACTATAACGGCTTTGGAGACGAGGTATTTAGAGTGATTGAATTCGGTCTTACACCGCTTTTAGCAATATCCCATCACGGCTTTGGAGGTCAGGTATTTAGAGTGAGTGAATTTGGTTTTACGTCGCTTTTAGAAATATCCCATCACAATAACGGCTTTGGAGACCAGGTATTAAGAGTAAGTGAATATGGTTTTACGCCGCTTTTAGCAATATCCCATCACTATGACGGCTTTGGAGACCAGGTATTTAGAGTAAGTGAATATGGTTTACGCCGCTTTTAGCAATATCCAATCACTATAGCGGCTTTGGAGGTCGGGTATTTAGAGTGAGTGATATGGTTTTACGCCGCATTTAGCAATATACCATCGCTATCACGGCTTTCACGGCAGAAATTAGACTCACAGCTTTAACCACATGGCTATCACATCACCCTCGTTTTCAGAATGTAAGTGACATGGGTTTTAACGCCGTTTTGTATGTAAATTATTTCATGGCGAGTCACATGTGGGAACCGAAACCCGGAATTGACGCAGAACGGATGATTTCATCTTTTGGTGACCAATACTGAGTATATATCGATGTGTGAGTCTGGGATTCGAACCCAGGACCAGCGGATCATTGATGGCAAGGAACCCGACACCGCAGTGCATTGTTTCGTCTTTGACGACTGCTCCTTCAGATACTACCTTTGACGACTGCCCCTTCAGATACTACCTTTGACAACCGCCCCTTCAGATACTACCTTTGACCTCTGCCCCTTCAGATACTACCTTTGACCACTGCCCCTTCAGATACCACCTTTGACCACTGCCCCTTCAGATACTACCTTTGACCACTGCCCCTTCAGATACCACCTTTGACCACCGCCCCTTCAGATACTACCTTTGACCACTGCCCCTTCAGATACTACCTTTGACGACTGCCCCTTCAGATACTACCTTTGACGACTGCCCCTTCAGATACTACCTTTGACCACTGCCCCTTCGTATACTACCTTTGACCTCTGCCCCTTCAGATACTACCTTTGACCACTGCCCCTTTTCAGATACTATCATTTCGAGGGGCGGTCGGGTAGCCTAGTGGTTTAAGCGTTCGCTCGTCACGCCGAAGACCCGGGTTCGTTTCCCGACATGGGTACAATGTGTGAAGCCCATTTCTGGTGTCCCCCGCAGTGATATTGCTGGAATATTGCTAAAAGCGGCGTAAAACCAAACTCACTCACTATCATTTCGTCGCTGGCATGTTTCCATTTTGGATGTGAACAATTAAATAGTACAAAGTCAACACCAACAAGTGGTATCTGAAGTCAAGAAATAGGTGACGAGACCCGCGTTGTGACTCCGATGTATATGAAAGATTGGCACGGTCAAAGTTATGCAGGATAAAAGATATGCCGTGTCCCAACGGGAATGTATGTGCTGCTTTAAACAGTATTCCAGTTATATCGCGGCGTGTCAGCTTAATGTGGGAGGAAAGCCCGAAGTGATGCAGGTCTCAGACGTTTACCACTTCGGTGAAACCCACGAGCACGGGTATGGTGCTGACAAACCTAGAAACATAATCGTATTTAAAATTGAACATTTTTAACCATTATACTACCATCATCTCTCTCTCCAGGGCCACCATTCCAGTAAACCTACACTAGCCCCTGGTTCCATTCCCGTGGTTCCTGCAATCACAAATTACCCGCCCTTGATTTGGACCACCAGTGGAATAGCGTCCGCCCGAAGGTCGGATCCCGGCCTCATCACACCAAAAGACGTTAAAATATGGCACTTGTTGTTACCCTGCCTGTCGCTCGGCATTAAGGGGCTAAAACAAGTACTGGTCGACTCGGAGTCAGTATATTGTGACTGAGTGGGGTATTATGTTAAACTGCGGCATGCGGTGGTCTAGCACTATAAAATCGGCATTAGTCCGGACTAGTGCGAGCACACACACGCACGCACGCGCACACACAGCTATATAAGTGCAATAATACTGAACGCGGCGTTAAACCTCAAGTTACCTCACCTCATTACGACATGACGGATAAACTATAGGAATATGAAAGAATCTCCTGGTCCTTAATTTCTTTTGAGTGGTATATGGTTTCAGCATTTCAGTACCCTGAGACAATGTACACGGCAGCAAGCCTCCGTGAGAGGGCGCTGTCACATCTAACAGTATCTCCACGTAGCTGCCACGTGTGTATCACTCGCACGTGCCTTACACAAAATGGCAAACGACCTGTATAACATATCACCATGCGTGGCCTCCACTGTGAACAAGCACGTCTCTAGATCTGCGCATCTACAACACATCTGTGTCTACCATATGTCCGATACTTACTTGCGACTGCCAAGCAGAGAAGAAGAACACACGCAGTGGCCAACCTCATTGTTTGCAATACGACAGGACATCCAGCTATCACTTGTACAAACAACCACTTTTATATAATCGACACTCCTGGCGTTTATCATAGGTCAATATACATGGTTTACGGAAACCTTTTAGGGCCATGGTTTTTTTCTTGAAATTTCAAGATACTAAGTTGAAATTTCAAGATAATAAGTTGAAATGATATATGATTATAACTTGAAATTTCAACATAGCATCTTGAAATTTGAAGATATATTGAAATTAAACATGCTGTGTTGAAATTTCAAGATAAGTTGAAATTGATAATTATTAAATTGAAATTTCAAGAAAGTAAGTTAAAGTTTCAAGACATTATGTTGAAATTTCAAGATACAAAGTTGAAATTTCAAGCTATCTACTAAGTTGAAATAACAAGATAATGATCTTCAAATAACAAGATAACAAGTTGAAAATTTAAGATTTTAACATGAAATTGCAACGTATGTATTTTGAAATTTTAACATAGCATCTAGAAATTTCAACTTCCTATCTTGAAATTTTAGGAAAAAAATACAAGTGGTCCTAAAAGGCTTCCGTATTACTTTGATAGTGGCCAAGGATCCTCACGTTATGTCTTATCTTTAGACAGGAGCACAGAAAATGTTGGAAATAGTGAGTGAGTGAGTGAGTGAGTGAGTGAGTGGGTTTAACGCTGCTTTGAACATGTTCACCACTTGGGTAAAAAAACCGCGGGCACAGGTATGGTGCTGACAAACCTTGAAACATTATCGGGGCGAACTGGGATTCGAACCCACGATTATAGGTTTCTGGCGTGTCCAAGGGAAACAACTCCGCAGAGCGATTTTCGGCGCCTTAGACGACTGGGCACCCGTGCCCCCAAATGTTGGAAATAGCAGGGCTCAGTTACAGAAAAAATTTAAACACAAGACGGCTGTAACAAAACTCACATGTTAATAACGCAGTATGAAGCACTGTACTTGTCCGCTCATTATTTACATCCCCCATTGACAAAATATAGCTATGTGGAGACACGCTTAGATTTACAAATATTACTTTGTGGACTGTCGTGATTTCTTCCTAAGCGCAAAGTGTCCTAAATCAGTCATGTTTCGATTTTCAGAGGCTTCATTCCATACAGATTTCAAAATCAGTGACTTCGTGGCTCCACCGTGTCTCGAAACGGCGAACGAAGTCCGAAATGATTGAAGCCTTTTAAAACAAAACCCAATCTTGAATTTTAAAGTCATCCTAAAAGGATTTCGGTTCGTTTGACTTTATTTGTTCGTCCTTGAAAGGCTTCCGCTCGCTCTCACTTGCAACAACAACGATATGACTTTGATAGTAACGTGTCAAGGTCACGAAAACTCGTTAATCCGGAGAGTGTAAATCATTATCGGCCGGATGAACGAATATGTCGCTATCGCCCTTTCTCAACAAGCATGCCTTTCGGTTAAAATGTCGTTGTGGTATGGTCATTCACAATAAGTGACTGTATATGAAATAGTTGAATTTTATGACTTAGTGTCCATATGAATGTAAACATGTGCACTCAAAACAATCACTATTTTTTCATTATTAATCCGTCTAAAGGGAAAATTTGGCGGAAACTCGCGTAAACCTTAACTTTAAAATTGCTCTCCGGTCATACATTAAAGCTTAGAATTATTTGATACGCTTAGTTTATTTGTTTAAGATTATCACCATTAGCTACCAGACTGAGCATTCCAGTAAAGAAAGTCTTATGCATTATTCCTTTTTCAATGTAGGTGAAGTGAAATTGGGTCGCGTCCAAGTTTATTGCACTTATATAGCGACGTGCATGCACGTGTGTGTGTGTGTGTGTGTGTGTGTGTGTGTCTGCTTGTACCAGTCCGGACTGATGTCGATTTATAGTGCTCACTAGATCACTGAAATACCATGCTGCAGTTTAACATGAATACCCCACTCAGACACAGTATACTGACTCCGAGCCGACCAGTCCTTGTTTTAGCCCCTTAATGTCGATCGCCAGACAGGGTAACAATAAGTACCATCTTTTAACGTCTTTTGGTATGACGCGGCAGGGGATCGAACCCCGAACCTTCCGCTCTCCGGGCGGATGCTCTACCACTAGACCACGGAGGCGGTCTCCTTTTCAATGTAGTGAGTGAGTGAGTATGATTTTACGCCGCTTTTAGCAATATTCCAGCAATATCACGGCGGGGGACACCAGAAATGGGCTTCACACATTGTACCCACCTTTTCAATGTAAACTTGGAATGTGTATAGACATTTAGAAGTTGGATGACTCAAGACAAGGACTGTTATGGATAACAACTTTTTTGTTCTACACACGCAACGTTTCAAGGCTAATTGGTGTCCCTTCATCAGTTGAAATGATTTGAGACGAGTTTCAGCAGCCGAGAAAATTCGATCATTTGATCCTCCTTGTGATGCCACAAAGCGTGGATACGTGCAGGAGTACCTTCAATTGATCACAGATTTGCAATGAATCACTAAGTCCATATCACCGATGGTTATCTGAAAATCACTGGCCAAATAAATTGGACTAACTTTTTTAGTCGGGTCAATCTCGAGCCAACACGTTAAAGTACCATCACAAATGTTACTGGAAAATGGGAAATGGAGATCGTTTCACTCGGGGTAATGTCTTTGTGATTGCCTTTATTTAAATACAGTAATCTACGTTTAAAACGAACACGCTTTTAACAAACTGACGGATATAACGAACTGCTTTTGGTGAGTGAGTGAGTATGTTTTTACGCCGCTTTTAGCACTACTCCAGCAATATTACGGCGGGGGACACCAGAAATGGGCTTCACACATTGTACCCATGTCGGGCATCAACTGCTTTTGGTCCTTTGCATTTGATGTATATATGCTAATAACGAATTCCGGTTATAACGAACAGAAAATAGTGGTCCATTTGAGTTCGTTATAACCGTATTTTATTGTATTTAATTTTCAGCATCAGTAGATTAGTAATAGCTATTTTCCCAACACCGTCATTTTCGCTATCCATAAAGAAGTGGTTTGCACCCGATGACCAGCTCGCCAAAACACACCCAACGAAATTGATACTTGGGGCGAGAAGTCCGTGCAACAACTCAAACAACAACCAATAGCACATTTGGCGACAAAGTAATCCAATATTAAAGGCCTACATTAATTTAAACCTACCTTGGTGGTATTATATCCTGCTAAAGCCAAGCATAAAGAAAGGCGATATCTGACCCAAAATACAAACCAAACACCGAGGGGGGACTGAACGTGTCTCACCTCGTCAACAGTCCAAAGCAGTCTCCCAGTCGTTTGAGGTTCAGTACCGAGTTGCGTCCCTTGGGGGTACCAGAAAACCAGTGATTGCGGGGTATGAACATACTAATGTTTAGATGAATCGATTGGAACCTCCATGTCAATGAAATGTGTTAACCTTGAAACAGTTAGCCTTGAATGGTTTATGATACATAGAGAATCCGCTTTTATCAACAAATGTTGACATATATGATATCAAAAGACACGAGGGTGAGATTTTATTTATCATTCAACATCATTCTTCCAACTTTTTTCAGTTTGTAGACAGTAATAAGCAGTGTCTTAAAACCCCTTATGCCACGGGACCATGCGCTAAATCAAAATTATAACCATCATCACCCTAATCATCTCAGCTTTAACATCGTATAAGTATATTTTATACCTCACTTTTCACACCTTAATACTGCCATGGTCCCGTGAAAATGACCCTTTTTAACTGAGAATAAAGATGTCAAACACAAAGTGCGAAAAAGCAAAATTATAACCATCATCACCCTAATCATCTCAGCTTTAACATCGTGTAAGTATATTTTATACAGTGCTACGGATCGCGAATTATGGTGAGATCAATAAAGTGGTTACCGAGCTTCTCGACCTTTTTCTGCCATGCGAATGGCGGCGATTTTTTTTATTATGCACCCATGTCACATACACGTAACTATTATAGTATCAGACAGCCAATTTGAAAAAGGAATCTGATCAGACTGGTAAAAAAGCTTTCCTTTTCCCCATTGTACAGTTATTGGCGTCTTCAAGTATTGCATATGTTTATCGACTGTGTGTCATGGTGATTTAGCATTGCGCTAGAGACGAAACGACAGTGCAGATTGTCTTTCTGTTTATGATACTGATTTACAGAAAATATTCAAAACAAAGATATGGAAAGATAGCTATGGACGTTAATATTAATGTGGTATAGTGTATAATTATGGGCAGAAAGTGATCAAAACCTAAACATTGAATGGCAATGCCCGAAGTGATCGACAGGGCACATTCGCATCATATCTGTATCGCGATTTCTTGTCTACCTATATGTCCTATATGCTCGCCCGTTTAGACAAATAACTGCTAGTTTTTTCATATGAAATGACTATAAGAGTCATGTGTGATTGCTTCGTTGTGCCTGACTACCTGACCGTGTGAATGACTTGCCCTAACTGTTTCACATTTTGTCGCAAAAGGAGATTTCAAAAGTGTGGCCACTACATCTAACGTGAGTCGACGCCAAACAAATTGTGTCCAGGTCGTTTTCACATGTGGTAGCTCGGCCCCCGTTTCTATCGATGGTACGCGATACAAACATAATACAATTACTGAAAACATCAACATAACCTCTACAATGCTGAAAGCAATACCTTTTTGCATAAGGGGTATCCGCTTATGGATACGATTTTCGTTTATCCTTTCATTGAAACTGTGATAATGGCGCTATGATTGGTTTGCTAAAATAGCATGATCCGTGAGTCTAATGTACATAGTACATGCTGTGATTGTACAAGATAATTGATAACCAATTGTGTATGCATATATATCATCAAATACACATTACTAATCTCCTCAGAAAATGGAATATATTATCATAACACGACAGGTCGTATTTCAGACACTCTGCCATGAGTATTAGATCTGATTAATATTAGTTTACAAATTGTTGATGTACACTGTACTCTAGTTTAACGTACGATAATCTATTGCAAGTCTTCAACTCTTATTTGATGTGTTATCTGAAATGTCAGCAATGAGTACACATTTTTTTCGTTACAATCTGCAATTTTATTCGAATAGGCTATTAAAAAGACGGTCGGTGATTTCCCGCCGCTGTGAATTTGTCGTCTGGACAGGTGCACGTGATTTGACCTCGCGTGTTGTGACGTGGATGACGTCACATGAAACAGCTGATCTGATGTTGTGGTAGTATAATGAATACACGTGGTTTCATTTTCCAAATAACAATATTCTCTTTGACTGAACTAGAAAGTACATCGAGTACATCATGATTGGAAAAAATTGAGCGATGTCAATTTGAGTATTGTCGGGGCTGTTTAGCGATCTTTCACATTTTGTCCTTTGAAAATGTACGATGTCAGGTTGTTTTTATCACTAATAAAAGAGCACGGTCACTGAAACCTACATGGACGTAACCGGGATTTCTTCAAGATACACAGTACAATGTGTGAAGCCCATTTCTGGTGTCCCCCGCCGTGATATTGCTGGAATATTGCTAAAAGCGGCGTAAAACCAAACTCACTCACTCACTCACTCACTCAAGATATACATTTCAAGCTGTCATTCGTATTGTGACATAATCTTTGAAACAGTCTGTGTTTGAACTGATCACGATCACTTAAATTCCGCCAATTTTGTTTTGACGTAAAAAAAACACGGACAATTTCATCGGGATTTTTTATCGGTAAATATATCTCACGGAAATTCTCAGTGAATGTGTACTTCAACATTAATGTCATTTGTCTGACACTGTTAGGACACGTACTTCCCAATGATATGAATTATTGGACATTTAGATTTCAAACAAGGGCGCTTACTTGACTTTGCTTGCCATACTCGGGTGCTTCCATATATTGATTAATGTACAAAAGTAGGAAACTTATAATACCGGCACTTTTATCGATGGCTGGGCAGTGCATAGATCTTTTGGATTTGGAGACTCAAGTTGCATGTTATATAATACAATTTGGTTACACTGTGTGAAGAAATCAGAACGTTGTAACACTTTTGACACAATGTATATGTTTTTGAGACCGCGACGTCATCAGTGTGGCACAGTGCGGCACTGAGCGGTATGCAGGCTGACTGACGTCCAGGCACCATGAGGGTAAATAAGTACTGCTAACAGCTTCAGCGAGCGAGCGAGCGAGCGAGTGAGTATGGTTTTACGCCGCTTTTAGCAATATTCCAGCAATATCACGGCTTCACACATTGTACCCATGTCGGGAATCGAACCCGGGTCTTCGGCGTGACGAGCGAACGCTTTAACCACTAGGCTACCCGACCGCCCCTCTAACAGCTTCAGAAGCAGAGCCGTCACGATATGGCTGAAATATTACCGATATGACTATAAATCTTAACTCACTCAGAAGCAGAGCCATTAGTGATTTCATTTGATTGTGATGTCATGGTAACTAAGACGTCACAATGGTCTGCAAAGAATTGTGATGCAATTTCATTGCAGCAATATCTATTACATATATTACATATAATATTACATATATGGTAACAATATTTTATTTTGTCTGAAGTTTTCTTACATTCGTAGTGTGTTTTTCTTAATATTATTTGGTATTATCCTTTTTTTGCAATGAAAGAATTACCGAAACTTAACTTGTTTGTAAACGATATTCCTTCGTAAAGCTTTGTCAGTCAGGGTTAACCTCTTTCGTGTCATTATCATTCCTTGAAACATCTGTAAGCGATGCGATATCGAACGATAGGTGATCGGCAGCCATCTTTTATGTGGACTATCGATGTATTCATACCCATGGGTTTTGTGTGAAAAGGCTCAATATATTTAAAAGAGGTTTCCGTGGGGAGTACAGTTTCAGCTATAGGTGAGGTGTAATGGGGTTTAACGTCGCGTCCAAGATTATTGCACTTATATAGCGACGTGCATGTACGTGTGTGTGTTTGTGTGGCTGCTTGTACTAGTCCGGACTGATGCCGATTTATAGTGCCAGCTCACTGAGATACCATGCCGCAGTTTAACATGAATATCCCACTCAGACACAGTATACTGACTCCGAGCCGACCAGTCCTTGTTTTAGCCCCTTAATGCCGAGTGCCAGACAGGGTAACAACAAGTACCATCTTTTAACGTCTTTTGGTATGACGCGGCCGGGGATCGAACCTGGACCTTCCGCTCTCCGGGCGGACGCTCTACCACTAGACCACGGGGGCGGTCAGTATCAGCTATAACACTCAATTATCCATTTATTATTATTTTTATTATCCATTACCCATTACGAGAGCAGATCAGTGGCCTTGGTAGGTATGTCCTCGCATAATAATAATTTATGCATTATACACATATAAAGCGAGGAGGGCAGCATACACCAACACAGTGATCGTGTTCCTTCTGTGAAAGTCCTGACCAAAAGGTTTTATTGTAGGTTTTATCAACGTTTAACCTTCCATAAATTCCAGTCGAAATTTAGGAGCAGCCATCACTCTGTCATCCTCAGCCGACGATTCATAGGGAAGGACTCCTGCCAGTTGTTTTGCTTCTTTGGTTTGGGCCGATGGTGGGTGTTCTGTTAGAGGGTTCGGATCCTTCGGAGCATTTGGGGGCAGTTCTTGAGGGAAAAATCGTATACCATTGGTTGACCAATGACCCGTAACGCGCATTTCCTTGTAGGCCCTCCGTTTTATTTCCAGTGATCCTTCCGCTGTCCATTTGGCTGGGGTCATGCTGACAAAAACCACATAGCGCCATCTGCCGGGATTCTTTCTTCCTTTTATTGGCCGAGAGTTGGCGTGGACGAGTCGAGAGTCCCACAAAATAATTCCTCCTTTTGGACAACGCACTCTTTTCGTCTTGAGTCCTCGTTCTTTGGTGAAGTAATCGACATCCTCGTCATTCAAGCGCTTGAGACGCCATGAGGGATTTTCTTTCCTCTTCTTGATGGCGTAGTCGCATTCAACGTAGTACCGATCGTGATACTCATGGGAGTTTTCAATCGCCTCAAATGCCCAGTCATCCTCATCGACGGTCTCAAGATACAGAGCCCCTTGGTACGCATGGAGCCCTTCTCGCGCAGGGCCCTGGTCGATATGGAGCCAGTGTTCCCCTGGGGACAGGAAATCCTCCTCACCATCCTCTGGGGGACGCCCAATAGCTATGGAATCCATGCTGCTCAGAAGCTTCTCTGTACCCCATATTTCTTCGAAGACCTTCTTTGCTTTCAACCTCACGGCCCAGGTCGGTTCCATGTGACCAACTTTGTATTCGTGAATTAGGGATCTAGACGAATGAGGCCAATTGCCATTGAATGATGCAAGCCAATCAGAGTACATTCCTCGATATTTATCGGACTCTTCGTTGGTTAGAACCCCCTCCACAACCGTATAACCTTTCAGCCTCAGTTCCTCTCTGTGTTTATCCGTTAACATATTTTATGACCTGAAAGAGACAAGTCAGAAGGATTTATGTCGACCCAGATATTTGTCAGATTATGACCTATCACGATAAGCAACGGACGCGCGCTTATATCGTGTGTCATTCAAAGGGTTCAACTGCGCTTAGAAAAGTGACTTATCTAATATACACGACCTGAAACTATATAAAAGGGGCACGGGTGGCCCAGTCGTCTAAGGCGCCGCGATTCGCTGTGCAGAGTTGCGTCCCTTGGCCATGTTTGTGGGTTCGAATCCCGATTCGCCCCAATTATGTTTCTAGGTTTGTCAGCACCATACCCGTGCTCGTGGGTTTCACCGAAGTGGTAAACGTCTAATACCTGCATCACTTCGGGCTTTCCTCACACATTAAGCTGACACGCCGCGATATAACTGGAATACTGTTAAAAGCGGCGTTAAACCAAACTCACTCACTTATATCGTGTGTCATTCCAAGGGTTCAACTGCGCTTAGAAAAGTGACTTATCTAATATACACGACCTGATACTATATAAAATAAATTCCAACCTTCACAACACCAACACGCGAATAACATGTTAGCAACAGAACGACTGAAGAGCAAATAGTAACACACTCCCAATGCCATCCATCTCACACTCGAGTGAGTGGGTATGTTTTTACGCCGCTTTTAGCAGTATTCCAGGAATATCAGGGCGGGGGACACCAGAAATGGGCTTCACACATTGTACCCATGTGGGGAATCGAACCCGGATTTTCGGCTTGACGAGCGAACACTTTCACCAGAAGGCTACCCCAACGCTTCCTAGACATTTGAAATTGTAATGACTCGGAGATATTTGTTCAAACCTATAACTGCTTACAATCAGTTGTTACCTCGTAGGGGCACGGGTACAGAGTTGCGTCCCTTGGGTACGCCAGAAACCTATGATTGTGGGTTCGAATCCCGGTTCGCCCCGATTATGTTTCTAGGTTTGTCAGCACCATACCCGTGCTCGTGGGTATCACCGAAGTGGTAAACATCTGAGACCCGCATCACTTCGGGCTTTCCTCCCACATCAAGCCGACACGCCGTGATATAACTGGAATACTGTTAAAAGCGGCGTTAAACCCAACTCACTCACTCACTCACTGTAATGAATCTGGGACATGAGCCATTCGTCATAGGTTCCTGGCACGACTGAAAGAAGCACAACGAATTGCGGCGCCTCAGACTTGTCCCCCCCCCCCCCCGTCTCTCCACTAACCGACTAATCATGTACTGCATTGAAAATGAAACAACTCACCGTTGCAGTGCTGCAGGTTAACAGGAGGCATTTGACGTTGGTTTTTATAGCACAGGGATTGGTGTAGACTGGAAGCAGTCTCCGATTTAAAAGTAAAATGTTTTGAACATTTCAAGGTTTATTTCATTTCTCTTCATTTTTGTGTCCTCACCAATGCAAACAAAACCTTTGGATATAAAGTTGTCAGTTTGCTTCTTTGTTTCAGGTATTGTCCAAAGTTATAACATTTATTATAATGAAAAAGAGACCTGTCCAGTCAAGAGACCTGAGCAACTGCGTGTAAGATTTGGTATTTATAGCACTGATAAACATCGTCACTTAAAAAAGTATGTCACTTTTTTTTAAACATATGTTATAATTCTCTCAATGTATGTTGCTCCCACAATACAGTGTTGACCTAATTCTAAGTAGGATAATGTTCACAGACACCCATCTTCCGGACGAAAGGGTGTTAACTGACTACAAAAGTCATGTCTGAAAGACTCTCCGTGAAAGGGCGGTCGGGTAGCCGTTGGCTCGTCACGCCGAAGACCCGGGTTCGATTCCCGACATGAGTACAATGTGTGAAGCCCATTTCTGGTGTCCCCCGACGTGATATTGCTGGAATATTGCTAAAAGCGGCGTAAAACCAAACTCACTCACTCACTCACTCTCCGTGAAAACTGCGAGGGCGGCCATGGAGAACCGTAAAACGTTTAAATGCGCAGAAAAGTGAACGCAGAGACTGGTGTATGTACCTTAAACCGAATCTTCATGTAGGGAAATCACATATTTATGAAATGTCTTTATGAAGAAAATGCTCTTTGATGTCATGGCAAGCAGGTTCATATTCAGATTGAGACCGCCTCCGTGGTCTAGTGGTAGAACGTCCGCCCGGAGAGCGGAAGGTCCGGAGTTCGATCCCCGGCCGCGTCATACCAAAAGACTTTAAAAGATGGTACTTGTTGTTACCCTGTCTGGCGCTCGGCATTAAGGGGCTAAAACAAGGACTGGTCGGCTCGGAGTCAGTATACTGTGTCTGAGTGGGGTATTCATGTTAAACTGCAGCATGGTATCTCAGTGAGCTAGCACTATAAATCGGCATCAGTCCGGATTAGTACAAGCAGCCACACAAACACACACACGTACATGCACGTCGCAATATAAGTGCAATAATCTTGGCCGCGACGTTAAACCCCATTTTACCTCATCTCATATTCAGATGGGGGCACGGGTGGCCCAGTCGCCTAAAGCGCCGCGATTCGCCGTGCAGAGTTGCGTCCCTTGGGCACACCAGAAACCTATGATTGTGGGTTCAAATCCCGGTTCGCCCCGATTATGTTTCTAGGTTTGTCAGCGCCATACCCGTGCTCGTGGGTTTCACCGAAGTGGTAAACGTCTGAGACTTGCATCACTTCGGGCTTTCCTCCCACATTAAGCTGACACGCCGCGATATAACTGGAATACTGTTAAAAGCGGCGTTAAACCCAACCCAAGCAGAACTGTCTACAATATTTTATGTACGCTTCACGTTTTCAAGTTGAACCATCTCTGTTGAGAATTGTGTCGGATATTGATAGCTTCCCGAGGCAAGGGAGTTAACAGACTTCAAAAGTCCAGTAAAGTCCAGACAACATATGATAGCCTCGTACACGAACATGGAAGCTTGATTATTATTCATAAAGATGAAGTTGATGTGTCTTATCTTTGCCTGGAAGAAATAACTTATAGAACGGATTGTTGTCTCATAACTATGGTCACCTCATCAATATCAATCAACATATTGTCAATAATGCATGCCTCTCTACCTGACGATGGTTTTATTCTTAACTACACCATTTGCGTCATGCCAAAATCCTATGATAATGAGTTCGAATTTCAAATTTACACCTATGGTGTTTCTTGTTTTTTCATCACCGTGCCCGTTCTCTCTGGCTTCACTCTATTTATATAGAGTGGCCCAGTCGTCTTGGGCGCCGCGATTCGCTATGCAGAGTTGCGTCCCTTGGGCACACCAGAAACCTATAACTGTGGGTTCGAATCCCGGTTCGCCCCGATTATGTTTCTAGGTTTGTCAGCACCATACCCGTGTTCGTGGGTTTCACCGAAGTGGTAAACGTCTGAGACCTGCATCACTTCGGGCTTTCCTCCCACATTAAGCTGACACGCCGTGATATAACTGGAATACTGTTGAAAGCGGCGTTAAACCCAACTCATTCACTATTTATACACGTGTACGACTTGACACATCGGCTTTCCTTCCGCGTTAGCCTCGTGTCCTCAATAACTGTTTCGTTACTGCACTCATTCAGTCACTTTGTTCAGTTTGGATGAGGTGATACTGCCAACGTTCACTGACTATACATTTGGACCTTGAAGGACATTCAGAAATTGTGACAGTGAACTGCTTTAGGGCAGGGTCATTTCCGACAGACGTGAGTGATCACGATTCTCCCTTACATGTTGTCATGATAATTAGATCACAATTGGGAGTGAATATTCTTTTACGCCGCATTCACAAAATTGAAGCTGTATCAATGAAGGGGGCACGGGTGGCCCAGTCGTCTAAGGCGCCGCGATTCGCTGTGCAGAGTTGCGTCCACTGGGCACGCCAGAAACCTATGATTGTGGGTTCAAATCCCTGTTCGCCCCGATTATGTTTCTAGGTTTGTCAGCACCATACCCGTGCTCGTGGGTTTCACCGAACTGGTAAACGTCTAAGACCTGCATCTCTTCGGGCTTTCCTCCCACATTAAGCTGACACGCCGCGATATAACTGGAATACTGATAAAAGCGGCGTTAAACACAACTCACTCACTCACTCACTCACTCTCTCAATGTATCAATGAAACAACCAGCCGACACATTGCTTTCACAAAGGTATCTTCACTTGGTCGGCTGGTAAGACTGGTTAGCTGCTCAACCCTGGAATACCAGGGTGTTTGTCATGAGACACGTGGACGATAGTGTGAACATCCATTCACGCACCAGAGTACGATGACACACTTTATCGCCAAGGGGTCCGTTCCACAAAGCAATCGTGGCACTAAGGTTACCGTAACTCCCATACTGTAACACAGACTTACGGTGGGGTGAGGTGAAATGGGGTTTAACGTCGCGTCCAAGATTATTGCACTTATATAGCGACGTGCATGTACGTGTGTGTGTTTGTGTGGCTGCTTGTACTAGTCCGGACTGATGCCGATTTATAGGGCTAGCTCACTGAGATACCATACCGCAGTTTAACATGAATACCCCACTCAGACACAGTAAACTGACTCCGAGCCGACCAGTTCTTATTTTAGCCCCTTAATGCCGAGCGCCAGACAGGGTAACAACAAGTACCATCTTTTAACGTCTTTTGGTATGACTCGGTCGGGGATCGAACCCCGGACCTTCCGCTCCCCGGGCGGACGCTCTACCACTAGACCACGGAGGCGGTCCAGACTTACGACTGTCATTGCGCTACGATAGCCTTGTTGAACGGGGCCATGGAGAGTACAAACTACTCACATCGTCTACCCGTGAAGATCCGGGGTAGAATAGGTCTTCAGCAACCCATGCTTGCAGTAAAAGCGACTATGCTTGTCGTAAGAGGCGACTTACGGGATCGGGTGGTCAGGCTCGCTGACTGTTGATGCATGTCATCGATCCCAATTGCGTGGATCGATGCTCATGATGTCAATCACTGGATTGTCTGGTTCAGACTCGACTATTTACAGACCGCCGTCACATAGCTGGAATATTGCTGAGAGCGGCGTTAAACATCAAACAAACAAACATAAAATCGTCGGCTAGCCTGTATACTTGGAGCCCTAACTTTAAATATTTCTCTTAAATCTGCACCAATGGTCACACAAGTGTCGAGATAACGGAAGGAGTCCTGAGATTGTCTCCCCATAGTTGTGTTGTTATTTAGGGCATCTTCCCAGCAACTAAACTATGCGGGTGGGACCAGACCCTTGTCATCTAGGGCATAGTGCGACGAGAACGTGTATAGTAAACAAGTTAAAGAGAGAGGTTTGTTCCTGACATGATTTTCACTCCCTTAAATATCACTGTTAAGATATTTATTAAAACAGAGACCCGTGAAGATTCCGGGATAGAATAGGTCTTCAGCAACCCATGCTTGCCGTAAAAGGTGACTATGCTTGTCGTAAAAGGCGACTAACGGGATCGGGTGGTCAGGCTCGCTGACTTAGTTGATGCATGTCATCGATCCCAATTGCGTGGATCGATGCTCATGATATCAATCACTGGATTGTCTGGTCCAGACTCGATTATTTACAGACCGCCGTCATATAGCTGGAATATTGCTGAGCGCGGCGTTAAACAACAAACCAACAACAACAAATATTAAAACAGAATTAAGTTGAAAACACAACGAAATGACTAGTTTAACATTAATTACATCATGTGTAAAATCTGGATTATGTGAATAACGAGTATGACCCCGTAGACGAGCGAACGCTTTAACCACCTGGCTACCCGACCGCGCCCGGCATGCTCTGAATGAGGGTCCAGATGGTAGCCCTCAGCATCTGGAGACCCCTCTTGCAAAGTTGGTTCAAATTGTGAGGCGCTACAGGACGTTGACGAACACACGATCAAAAGTCACCCAACAGATATTGCTGGTTGTTGTCAGGAGATCTTGCTGGCAGCGGTAATGCCCGCATGTTGTCACAAACTGAGTGTTGGGGGGCATTACCCGGTTGAAATTCAAACTAACGACCTATCCTACGCGCAAAAGGGACCACGACTGGCCACAAAACCTGGTCAAGACAAACAAGCGTATAGTTGACTAAGTCATCTATATCCCCCGCCCATTTTAACACGTTATGGTCCCAAACCAGGTAACTGACCCAACATTTCTCTTAGCCCATGTCAAAATAGCTGCAATGGAAATTCTAAAATAAACATTTCTAAAACTCCTTAATATCAAATGGCACTAGTTCAGTATGCGCTTTATATATAGACATGCAATGTTTGGCAAGGAAATATTTTACATTTTATTTGTTATACTCCTTAAGTAAACCAATCCTATATTAAAAATTAAATCTAACTTGATGTCATGGAAACATAAACAATAAAAAATTCTAAAAGTGCTATATATCAAAAGGCACCAGTTCAGTATGTGCCTGGTAGACATGCAAAGTTTTGTAAGAAAGTATTTAACAGTTTTTGAGTTATGCTCCGGAAACGAACACCACCCTTGTAGAACCTAAGTCCAACTTGTTGCCATGGAAACGTAAAACATAAAAATTTATAAAATTCCTAAATAGCAAAAGGCACCAGATCAGCATG